GGGGTGGGAAAGGGCGGGAGGCGGTGGTGCCTGCTGCCTCTCGCGGCGTGGAGCCGCAGCGGTCCCGGGGCGGTCAACGTGCACGTGGGAAGGAAAAGGGAGCTCGTGGAAACGTGGGCTCACGGCATCTGGGCGCTTCTGCGCTGTGGTGGTGGTCCGGCTCAGCTCTCTGAGCAGCTGAATATTCCTTAATTTCTTCACGTATGAATGCTGAACTCTGCGGGTTTTTACAACTATCTTCTAATAAAAGAGAAATCCACTGTTTGGCAGAACTGCAACTAAAATACTCATCACTTTACTGCTAACAAATCTTTAAATTATTAGTGTAACAGCTAACAGAACATACAACTCTGCTAGAATAATTAAAAGAAAAAAATGTTTAATTAGGTTAAACAGGCCATTTACTTAAAAAAAAAAACAAACCCAAAGCCGCACCAAACTTCAGAACAACATCCTCTTCCCACAATTTTTTGTTATACCAGGCTTGGCAGAGAACAGAAAGAGGGCTAAATCCCTGGGTCAGGAGTTTTACCTGCATTGAAGTGCAGAAGAACGTAGGTAGGACTTGTATCCATTGAATTAAAAATTGCAGCAAGTACTCTTGACACTTCTGCTCGTGTTTCTGAGCTGCTGGTGCAGCATGTCTTCTCTGTATCTCTTCTCACGCTGTGGAACAATACAGCAATGCTTATTCTCAAAATCGTAAAGGAAGTATGTATCGTTCCATGAATGCGATAAATACTCATTAACCTGCTCCACCGTGTTCAATGGGTTTTCCTTGTCAGAAAAACTTTTTGAAAAACTGCCTGCTCCTGAACTGTAATGTCTTCTGTTGCAGAGAAGCGACCTCAGCTCTAATTTTGCAGTGAACACCTGAATGTCTAGTAGGGGCTTTGGGCAGCAATAAGGCAAATTCCTGCAGCACGTGGAGGTTATTGGAGAGAGGTCTCTGAACTAACGCTCTGGTTATTTTCACCTTGCTTATTGTCAGTAAAGCCCTACCATTTACAGCTGCTCATTTTTCAGGAACATCAGGACAGGACACAGGTCATGCTCAACTTTTAATGCAAAGCAGCTAAAAAACTTCAAGAACCTACTTCCCTACTGAAAAGGGGATCCTAGTAGAGAAGATGTTGCTTAAAAATGTGCTCACTACTGTCTCTTGTACAAGTTCTTGATAAGAACCGAGAAGTTGCCTTGAGAACCAGCTAAAACCGACCCTGTAGTTTGGACAAGAGCCAAGGAGCAACTGAGTCTGCGCAAGAACAAGGGATTACTAGCGGTGACAAAGAGGAGTCATCGGCCTTCATCCACCACGTCCCCCGCGACCACCACCAGGAGAGTGGTACGCAAGCGCTGTTGGGAGGAGTTTATGGAAATGACTTCTTGGGGCTAATTTTAATACGAAGCGGGGACAAGTCATGCATATGTATAGGCATATTTGGGAATCTTATGTAAATGTAACACTTTGTAGTATAACTTCGAGGCAAGCTACCACACACGCGCGCACGATTTTGGTGGGACTACCCCCCGTGCTGCCCAGCGCTGAATAAACATACCTACTTTACATTCTTACAGATTGGAGAGTCTGCTTTCCGCACATCACTATCTCACAGTGAGCTTAAAACCATGTCACTGGATGATATACATGAGGCTGGTCTTAGTGCAGGTAGCAAAAACAGCTGCCTGCAGTTCATTAGCTTTCAGTAAGTGGTTAGTCAGACACACAAGGATGTCCAAGGATGAAGGACTTGCAGTGGGAACATCACCAGGGGAAGTGTATCAAGCTATTTGCAAATTCCTGAAGCAGCATCTGCAACTAGCAGGGAGGCTCACGAGCTAAATTTTACCCACTGTGCTAATTCCATAAGACACCATTTTACTTTTTGCCTAAACAAGAAAACAGAGTAGGCTGCTTCATCGGCCAAAACAGCTTCTGTTTTTATTGCACTGAAGCTCTACTTTGGATGTCCGTATAGAAAAAGAGCAGTGTATCTGTTTTCCTGAGAAATTTATGGTTGATGGCAGATGTGCTACTCCAGTACATCCAAGCCAAACTGAGAACTCTTGATTTCTTCATCATCAGGTTACCACTCCCTCTTCTTTGCCAGCATAACTTCATGTTCAGCACTCCCTAGCTTGCTCAAGGAGGTACAGTTCAGGTGAACACTTTTAATGGTAGACATAATGAGCAACTATGAATGCAGGCATGGATCTGTAATCTCTGGTGGGTGATCTCTTAGTCTCGAGCAGCGATTGCTCTCCCCCTGACCAACTCCACCCGAGCATGATGTCTTATGGTCTGGAATAGCCCTTTGGTCAGTTTGGGTCAGCTGTCCTGGCTGACTCCCTTCTGAGGGGAACAGAGGGTCCAATATGCTGGGCAGACTCTCCTCACAGGGAAGTGTGCTGCCTCCCAGGAGCCCAGGTTAAAGGGATCGCTAGGAAACTTCCTAGCCTGGTATGGCCCTTGGACTACTTTCCTGATCATAGAATCATAGAATCATAGAATGTTTTGGGTTGGAAGGGACCCCTAGAGGTCATCTAGTCCAACCCCCCTGCAGGAGCAGGGACACCGCTGACTAGATCAGGGTGATCTTCCACGTGGGTGCTGATAAAGTTGCAGTACATAGCTGTGGTGGTTTGACCCTGGCTGGATGCCAGGGGCCCACCAAAGCCACTCTATCACTCCCCTCTAACTGGACAGAGGAGAGAAAAGTAAATCAAAAGGCTTGTGGGTCAAGATAAGGACAGGGAGAGATCATTTTATCAGTTACCATCACAGGCAAAACAGAGTCAACTTGAAAAAAAAATTAATTTATTATCAATCAAAATCAGAGAAGGAGAGCAGAAAAACTGCTAAATCTTAAAAACCTTCCCCCCACCCCTCCCTTCTTTCTGGACTCAACTTCACTCCCAGCTTCTCTACCTACTCCCCCCAGCGGTGCAGGGGGACGGGAATGGGAGTTGGGGTCAGTTCATCACAGGGAAAACTTCTAGCAGCTTCTCACAGAAGCCACCCCTGTAGCCCCCCCCGCTATCAAGACCTTGCTGCACAAACCCAATAGTCTCCCATTTTTTCAGGCACTGCCCAGGCATGCAGGAAGAGACACTCTTTGCTCAGAAGGTTATGTGTCATCAGAGTAGAAAGCCACAACACAAACGTCATAAGACAGTGACTGAATACATTTTTGTAAAGTCAGCTGTTGGCAGCAGTTTTCATGAGGGAGCAGGAGGAATCTCTACAATTCTGTCTGGCTTGCTTGCAGTTCTTACAATAAAACATTTTTCCAAAGCATAACTCTTTTGACGGCTGTAGTTGGTGACCAAGAATGCAACGAAATACACATAATCTGTCTGCTATAGCAGAAACTATGTCAGTCTTCTGTTGCATAGGACACAGAGGACAGGCTTGCTAGAGTAAAACTAGCTGCTTGCATGCTGAAAAAAAGTTCTTGACACATCTTCACTTTTGCAGGTTTAGTTCACTTTCATAGCACCAGCATGTGGTGTTAGCATTGCAATTCAAATTCATGTGGTAGCAAGGGCAGAGACTTCCTGACTCATCAACCAAAATCTTCAAATGTCTGTGGTGGGTTGACCCTGGCTGGACACCAGGTGCCACCAAGCTGCTGCTCTATCACTCCCCTCCTCAGGTGGACAGGAGAAAGAAAAGATAATGAAGGCTTGTGGGTTGAGATAAGTACAAGGAGAGATGACTCAGCAATTACCGTCATGGGCAAAACAGACTCCACTTGGGGAAATTAGTTTATTACCAATTTATAAATAGAGTAGGTCAATGAGAAATAGAACCTAAATCTTAAAGCACCTTCCCCCCACCCCTCCCTTCTTCCTGGGTTTAATTTACTCACAAACTCTCTGCCTCC